ATTAATATTCAAAATTTTATTAAAAAATTTAAATATTAAAAAAATTAGTAAAAATCTTTGCAGGCAAATTTGCCTGTATTACAATTTAAGGGATAATACTTTTCAATTTAGTCTTACTTTAAATTTAATTTGCATTATATGTAAAATCATTGTAGTAGGTTAGCATTGTGAGAATTTTCTAGAAACAAGTCCTCTACTTCATATCAACACTATTCATCATCCTATATGTAACAGATTTGTAATTCCTTGTAACTCTTGTTTATTTTTTAATTCGTATCTCAAGCTAGATGCTACCACTATCTGAAAACTCGTATCTCAAGCCATCTGCTACTATAATTAGAAGTTCCTGACCAGGGCCCAAAGCATGTAAACAATGCAGATCTTTTGAAAAAAATACCTGATTCTTCACTTTTTGCTTGTTAAAAGTATTCCCAAAAAAACTCTAAGAAAAGTAAAAATATAGTAAAAAGTTTTCAAGATCATAACTATTAAAAGTTTCTAGTGAGTGTGTTAAAAAGCTTATTTGTTGTTTTTTTGTTAAACACCTAGAAGTACTTTGTTGACAGAAACTGCTTTGCATTTCTACCAAAATTTCCTATACAAGAACACTCTCTTCTGCTAGTTATTTTGTATAGTGATACTTTTGGCTTGCATGCCAAATATATAAAGAAGTCCCTTGTAAAGCAGTAGAGTTAACCTTTATAAAAATTGATTTCTAGTTGCATATCTCTGCCTGTCTCCAACAATTTTTTGCCTTTTGTCTATGAAAAAATTTTGGTACAAGTAATCATCAGGAAGAGTTAATGATTTTGAATGAAATCTTAATATAATAATTTTTTATAATTTTTAAATTTAATTATATATTTTTATTAACTTTTAATTTATTTTTAATTTTAATAGCAAAAGTTATTAAAATTTTAGCTCTCATCTAACTTTTGTTGTAGTGATTAAAAAAGTATAAAAATTTGCTACTGATCTACAGTATATTTATTTACTGTAAAAATTTTAAAGTTGTAGTTTTCTATTTAAAAAGTTAGAGGGGTGAAATACTTATGATTCCTACTATAATCGATTAGTCAATTTTATTTCGAAACTTTCAAAAATTTAGCTTTGGCCTTGCTTTCTGTGATGGAAATTTTAATTGTTTTTACAGCTGTTTTCATTATTTTTGGGACAATTGAAAATTTTTTACCGAATCGATAAGGTTTTTGATGTCGGCCGACGTCGGTAACTTACTGATTCCGACTCGATTTTTTTTTACTGCTGTTTTCATAAATTTTGGAATAGATAAAATGCCGATGGCCGAATCGATAAGTTTCTGAGTTTGGCCGAAATCGGTTACTTTATTGATTCTGACTCGGTAACTTATCGATTGGTAACTTATCGATTGGGTCATCGGCAATTTTTTTTTCAGTTGTTCCAGAATTGGGATCTTTGCTATCAAAATGACCCTCCGAGGCTATGTTGATTTTGTGAATAAAAATCAAATTTGCCAGTCATCTAGTTATCCAATTTGAATGAATTTTTTTTAATTTGTAGATTCTATTGAGATTTACAAAATAAAAAAAAGTTTATTCAAATTGGATTACTAGATGGCTGGCAAATTTGATTTTTATTCACAAAATCAACATAGCCTCGGAGGGTCATTTTAATAGCAAAGATCCCAATTTATCTATAAATTAGTCGAACGATTCTTTGGCCGATTCGGTTAAGTTATCGGCAATCTATATGTTTGAAAAGAATTATATTTCAATCAAGAAGACCCTGAGATCTGCACCCGGGCTTAGTTCTACTATTTGGCCATTTACGGTAGCATGATCGATATATAAGATACTTTGTGTTAGGGACGGGTAATGTAGTAATAATTTATGTAAGCAATATTTACGTTTGTAACAATTAGTATAGTCAAAATATGTGGCTAAATATATGCATAAATAGCTTTGCGATGTTAAATTGCTTAATTTTAAAATTGAATATGCGCCAAGTGGGTTCAGTATTAACTTTAATTTGGTTCGAAATTCTTTTTGATCAACTTTGATGCATTTAGAATCAGCTATGTTTACTTCAAATCTACGTAGCAGGATCCATTGTACTGTGCAACATATTACATGTTCTGCAGATAAATTTTTATTATTTTAATATCGACACATTCAACCTTATTAAATTTTCATTTGAATACTTGCCCAACATCTGGGTGCCCTGTTCTCCTCCAAGTTCTGATTGGATACTGTAAATACTTTTTCAGATTGAATCACAATGATTAAAAATAACAAGATCTGGTGTAACGCAAAATTTCGCGAAAAAAAATCGATAGCAAAAGTTTAGTACATATTTGCTCTCAATACTAACCATAAACGGCATATTTTATTATTTTATCGAGATAGTTGTGATTAATTTCATCCAATCAAAGATAAGATTTCTGTGCGTCCAATAAAAACTTGGGTTAGTAAATCCCCCAACATCTCTGGTGTGTTTAGTTTGTACGAAAATTTATGAAAAAGTGTGACTACTGATGCAGACATTTCTCATAGTAGTAACTACTTACGGCATTATGATGTAGAGGTCGTACTACCTGAGGTTATGTTGCCATGAGAAGTTGCCGTATACAGTATACGTAACCAACAATGTCTTTAATTTATTATCAATTGCATCTAAGCTGAATTAATTAATCATCATTTTTTGCTTGTCGGGATCACATGTCAGACACAATGCTATAAACGTGATCTTTATTACAATGTACCGTTATTTAGGTTACCATTTTAAATCATTGTCAAATATTATTTCATTAAAAATTTATTGTAATCTGAAGGATATTAGTTAACAGTAAATGAGTGTTTATAAACATGAATCACTTTTCATCTTTTCATCTTTATATACTCGCTCACTAAATTAAGGTATACGGTGTTCATATGGCATGCAACATTTATACGGCGTACAGCATTTATATGACATACGACGCCGTGATATTTTTGCCGGGGCAAAATGACAAGAAATGGTTCCGGATATAATGGACCCATGGGGCACCAAAAAAGCAGGTTCTACCCAGGTGGCCCACGAGTCCACTCATCGGGTGACCCAGGTGGCATTTTTTAGACAGGTCCATCACAACTTATTAGTCAGCGATATGCCATTATCAAGATGCGCATCTCTAATAATTACTAAAAATTAGGATCATTATTAAAGTGTATGATCAACAAAGTTTGGCTGCGATTTATTTATTGATGAGCCAGGAATACTACATACAATACATTGCTTAAGCCAAGCAAGCGGTTATGCACGTAGCAGATCCCAGAATATCATCCTAAAATGGGGTCAAAACTGGGTTATAGATTTCATAAAACTGTAAAAACAAGTTATGATGAATTTAGAATTCTTGAAACTTAAAGCACATTTAAAGAGAAATTTGCGTTTATAAGCGTGCATTTAGAAAGGGTTGACTGTATATAATAATATATGTGCAACAAGGTTTTTTTGACGCTAGCCCCATAAGTATTACGTAATACACTTATGATTATCATTTATCTTTATCACTTTAATTTACACAGATTAGATTACGTTTACTGTTTAGTTTGTTAGTTCACCCCAACATTTGAACAAAATAAGTATAATAATTTAACATTTTAAAGTGGTAATTATAATTTCTATAAAACTTTTTTTTTACCCCTTAATTTTTTTTTACATTGATCAACACATAATTTTGAAGATATTAAAAAATATTTTTTTTTTTAACGCCAATTATTAAAAAAAAAATTATTAAAAGGCCCTTTTCCCTTGAAATTACTATTACCCTAGTTGAAAATGAAAGTTAAACTTAAAATTCAAAAAGCTCAGGAAGAAGGGAGGCCATATTGGTCTTTCGAATATTTCCCACCTAAGACTAATCAAGTACTTCAATTTTTTTTGTTCCAAATTTAAAAATGAAATTCTTAGGAGGGCGGCTAGTCCAATATTTATAGTGTTTTTAATGTGTATTTTTTTATGTCTACTTTTCTTTAGGGTGTTCAAAACCTTTACGATCGTATGGAAAGAATGTATCGTCTAGGCCCAGAATTTATTGACATTACGTGGAATGCTGGGGGAACTTCTTCACAATTAACAAGTGAAATCGTATCTACTGCTCAATCTGTGTATGGTTTAGAAACTGTCATGCACCTTACATGTACGAATATGCCTAAAGAAAAGATTGATAAGGCCCTCAAGGTACTTATCTCTTCATCTGTAACACAGATAATTTTACATATGATTTTCAGGATAAATGGCTCGAGTAGTGTAACATTCTAAACTTTAATTTTATTCGTTTTATATATATATAAATAAAAAAATATAGGATGCCAAGGATTGTGGTTGTCAGAATATTCTTGCTCTTCGTGGTGATCCACCACGAGGTCAAGTTAATTGGGAAGCTTGTGAAAATGGTTTCTCCCATGCCATTGATCTTGTCCGTTATATCCGTGCGCAATATGGTGATTATTTTGGGATATGTGTAGCTGGTTATTGTGAAGGTCATGTAGATAATCCTGACAAAGAAGATGATTTGCGCCGCCTCAAAGAGAAGGTAGATGCGGGAGCAGATTTTATTATAACTCAAGTGTTTTATGACGTGGATTTATTTTTAGTTTGGATTAAGAAGTGTCGGGCAATAGGTATTACTTGCCCCATTCTTCCTGGACTTTTACCAATTCAAAATTACAATGGATTTAATAGAATTGTAAGTCTTTCAAAGACTATCGTTCCTAAATCTGTGATTGATGCTTTAGAACCTATTAAACATGATGATGCTGCTGTAAAAGAATACGGAATAAAATTGGCTGTTGAAATGATTAGAAAGATGTATGATAGTGGAATAAATGGATTCCATTTTTATACAATGAATTTAGAGAGGTCTACAAGATTAATATTAGAAGCCTTGCAATTTGTCGCTCCCGTAGAAAAAGTGAAACCATTGCCATGGTGTCCGGTAATAATTCTAGTTTTATTAAAATAATAATAATAATAATAATAATAATATATTTACTTTCTTTTTTACTTTCTATAATCAAATATTAGTCTCTTTCAGCTAAACGAATAAAAGAAAATGTACGTCCTATATTTTGGAGAAATCGTATCAAAAGTTATGTTACTCGTACAGAAGCATGGGATGAATTCCCTAATGGAAGATGGGGCGATGCGAGATCCCCGGGTACTTTTAATATAATTTATTATTTTTAATTCATTAATTGAAATCAATGCGCTTATATAAATATAATCATATGCATGTGTATCTTTTTTTAATAAATAGCTTTCGGGGAACTTGACGGATATGGTGTATCTCTTAAACAGGCGGTATGTATTGTGTTTATTAAGGATTACTATTCATAAATGTTCACTGAAAATTTTACCTTTATTGAAACAGAAACAAAATGCTCTTGAATTATGGGGATGTCCCAATTCTCTGAATGATATTTATAATATATTTGTGAGATATTGTCATGGTGAGCTAGTTTCCCTGCCTTGGTCCGACCAATCTCTAGCAGAAGAAACTGATATAATCAAGGATCAATTGGCCTATATCAATTCATTGGGATATTTAACTATTAATTCACAGCCTGCTGTAAATGGGGTCCACAGTGATCATAAAATTTTCGGTTGGGGCCCTAAAAATGGTTACGTGTATCAAAAGGTCGCATATTTAATTTATTATTTGAATATTTATTTATGTTAGTGATTAATTGTTTAACTTATTTAATTATTAACTTATTTAATTATTGAATAGGCTTACTTAGAAGTTTTTGTCTCACCGACACAACTTGATTCTCTTATTGCAAAAATAGAGCGTGACATAAACATAACGTTCTATGCCGTAAATAAACAGGTCTTATTTTATTTTCTCTCTTGGCATTTTTTTTATCATAGTCTTTTATATTATATATATATTAAATTATAATTTTATTAATATAGGGCGATCTAAAAACCAACACCCAAAGTGAGGGCCCCAATGCCGTCACCTGGGGCGTTTTCCCTGGTAAAGAAATAATTCAACCAACTATCGTTGAAGCTGTAAGCTTTATGGCCTGGAAGGTAATTTATTAATATCTATTTTTTGTTTATCTTTTTTATCCTTTTAAATTTATTATAATTCATTCATTTTATGTAGGACGAAGCTTTCGAACTTTGGAATGAATGGGCAAAAATTTATAGCCCAGATTCTGTATCTGCCAAGTTGATTTCTCAAATTGCAGATAATTGGTATTTGATTAATATTGTACATAATGATTTCCATGATGGTAGTGGCATCTTTCGCATTTTTGAACCGGACTGTGTCTCTGAATTAGCAGAGGCTGATCGTTAAAAATTTCATTCAATTTTTGCGCATGCTGATAGAGTCTGGATCCAGATATTTGTTTTTTATAATAATAATATAATAAATAAATATAATAGATACATTTAGAAATTGATCGTATCTAGATCCAAACTCTATTTATTGTAAATGCTTACTGATTAAGTCTTGAACAATGGTTTTAGATTATCTATTGCATTTTTATTTTAATACATATTTGGTTAGTTTATGAATTACAAACCATTTGACGTTACACCAATAAATTAACGGTTATCCGTTTAAGCCATGATCCTCAAAATTCAGGATCTGAATCCCTTATTTAAATAATTTTCTACGTATAGATGCATAGAGCAGTAAATGGACTATGAAAATTAAATTTATACGTATTAATATCGTATGTGAATTAATGCGTACGTACTATTTGGATTTTTTTGTGATGATCATAATTATTTATATAAACGATCATAAACGATCGAATGATCGATATCTTCAAACTTTAACTATTTGGGAACGTACACAGCTCACCCCCAAGAAATCTTTCCCACACGTGATATGATCATTCGATTTGTGTAACACGATTTATCATTTAAAACTTTGAACGAAGCCTTCTCAACAACCACCTAATTAATCTCAATGATTTTTTTTTTTCTTTTTTTTTGAATTCTACAGCTCAGTAGAATTCAAATAAAAAAATTTCATCGAGATTAGTTAGGTGGTTGTCGAGAAAACATCGCTCAAAGTTGAGCAAAGTTTTCTCGACAATCACCAAACCAATTTCGATGGAAATTTTTTTATTTGAATTATACTGAGCTGTAGAATTCAAATAAAAAAATTTCATCGATATTGGTTAAGTGGTTGCTAAGAAACACTATTCAAAGCTAAAGAAAATTTACCCGCCTATAAACTTTAAAGTTATTCTTAAATTTTGAGTGAAGTTTTCTCGGCAACCATCCAACTAATCTCAAAAATGATCTAATTGACCAATCGTGTTAATCATTTACTAGTAAGTCAAAAACTTGGAGTTGGCAACTATCTTCGAAGTTACTCTGACTAGCTGTAATTAAAATCCGCATATAACATCTAGACCATTTTGCAAATCATATTGAGGGAGCTGTTTAATAATAGCTTTAGGCAGTTCTCGACATTTCTATCTACAGTTAACAGAGTAATCCGGTTGGATAAAAAAATAAATCGTGATAATCATTTAGGGTTGTTCTCAAGCAACTCCATTAATATGATTTGCTAATCGATTAATTGAAGTGATTCTTACAACAATTTGCTGAAAGTGAAAGTTCATTGTGCCAAATGCGGATTTTAAGGGGATTCGATCAACTCACTGACAATCACTTCGTAGATACCACTTTCACTGACAATTACTTACCGACAAGTTCATTTCACCGACAGTTTATTTCACCGAAGCTCATTTTACAGACAAAATAATTCTGGTCATTATCATTAGAGTCAGGTTAGAATAGAGTTAAAGTTAGTGTAATCTATAAAAAAAAACTTGTCAATGAAATGAGCTTCAGTGAAATAGACTGTCGGTAAAATGAACTTGTCGGTGAATAATTGTCAGTGAAATTTGGTGTCTATGAAGTGATTGTCGGTGAAATAATATGGATCCATTAAAATTTGAATGAAACAATTGAACACACTCTAAGCCAAAAAATCTGGTGCCAACATTTTTTCTTTTTCTTGAATTTAAAATCCAATGAACTGTTAGACAAATTATTATAAGAACCTCTTCAATTAATCACAATAATTGTGCATATCTCAATCACCAGAAAATCACATTGAGTGAGTTGCCTGAGAATACAC